GTAATAAATAAATCGAAGAAACTCGGGAGAAAGCCTTTCCGTGCGACTTTCAATGCGTTTATTGCACGCAAGTCTCTCGCATCCCTCCACTTCTGCCTTTTCTTAAGTCTTTCCGCATTTGTCTTTTCTCATTGGCTTGCAGCACGGCGTGTCTCTCCGCCGCCTTCGAAGGAAGAAAAACCTGACCTATCGTACGCTCCTCCGATCTCTAACACCGGTCTAACGCCGCCCTGGAGTCAATCCTTTCACTGCCACGCGAGCGGCAACTTAACGATGTCATTTCGGGCCAACGACCGCCGATGCGGTTCGGGCTTTGGTCGAACGCGACGCGTTCGAGCGAATGTAAGAGAGAATGCGCTTACAATTGCAAAAATTCTAAAAATATTCATCGAAATAGTACACACTATGCTTATAACAAGACTCGAAGGTCGATCGCGAAATATCCTCGAACGAAGGAGAAGAATCGCGAAAACGATGACGATAATGAGGGAAAGGACAAAAATGCAGGCTCAAATTTATTGGCAATACTTGATTGGGCCATTAGCATCTTTCGAGTATATATATATGTACAGGGTGTTTCTAAATAAATGCGAAAAATTTTAGATGATTCTTTGTCGAAAATTAAGGGGGGTCTTTCATATAAACGTATACTTCTATATTCCTCCCTGAGGAGTTACACTCCTCCAAAGAGGAGGCGAAAATTAAATTTTTTTTTTTTTCAAATTTTGGACAAGTTAGAAAAATGAAATTTGGTGGTCATTTTCCACTGGTAGAAAGGATCCTTATTAATATTTTTTTAATCTTCCCGTATCGTTATAAGGGAATGAAACTAACAACCCCTATTCAATTTTTTATTAGAACCTTTTAACGGACCAGAATGTGATCATGTAAAAATATGCGTTAGAAAGCTTGATTCCTTTAGAAACTTTTTTATTTCTTTTATTTTTTTCGTAAAATCAAGTTTTCAAGAAAAAAAAATAAAATACATAACTCTTCAGAGAGGAATATAGGAGTATATGTTTATATGAAAGACCCCCTTAATTTTCGACAAAGAATCATCTCGTAAAATTTTTCGCACTTATTTAGAAATACTTTATATATGTGTGCGTGTATGTATAGCTTTCTTTTTATTCCTCTTTAATCGTGCGCGAGAGTATGTTTCTGGAATTATGTGTAAACTGGTTTTGTTTCCGAAGCCGTAGACGGAAATGCTAATAACTGCGCTGGCAATCTCTTCCGCGGAAAAAATGCGCGACGTGCAAAGGAACATGATTCGTAAAGTTATCACGAATTTCTTCGCGCTTGACTATTTTCTCCACACTTATCATTATACTGCCCGTTGTGCATTTTTTTCGTTGTGGAGCGGTATCGTCCTCGTCAAGAAGTTCCTGACCTAGGTCACTTCAGACTCTCTCTTTTTTCTCCCTGCCCCCCGTCTTGAATTCTTCATATCATTCATCGTATATTTATCTTCTTCCTGATTCTTCGCTGTCGCGTATAATTCTTCATCAATTTCAGTAGCCGATATCGAATTTCGTAAAAAATATATATTTATATTTAAATATAAATAAATAAATATATATATATATATATATTATACAATCTAATTTGAAAAAGAGAAATAATCGAGTAAAAAAGAGAAGAATATAGATATAATTTAAAGAAATTATAATTGAAAAATGAATTAAAATGAATTTTAATAATTTTATTGTAGTGCTAATAAAGTAATTTTATCATTTTTTTATAATTATGATATTTATAATAAAAAATAACAATAAGTAGTTATAATCGAAAAATTTATAAAACTTACAGTAAATTACAATATATTAATTGTTTTAAAAAAAATTATATTTTAAAATTCAAATTGCTAAAATAACATGAACGACTTTCAACTATTCTTTCTTTTTACATTCGATTAGCCATGCATCGGAACAAGTTTTAGAGGATTAAATCGCAGCGTTCAAATCGACTCGAAACATGCAGATCGCGTTTGCCAATTTCACAATCGAATACATCTAGTTGCAACTCTGAATGATGCAACTCGCTGCACTCAAAGTTACGATAGCTCCGTCATAAATACCTGTTGGCGAAAGAATAATTCATGTTATAAACACAGCGTAATTACGCACAGTCATATCGTTATAAATAGTTTTAAACAATTAAGGAAAACGGATCATTATATTAATCATACAAATGATTATGCGCGGTAAGAAAATAATCTTAATTTTATAGTCTTACTACGTTTTTTTCTCCGTTTTAAAATATATTTTACAATAGCGTGACCGAAACGGGACTTAGATTTACTCGGAAGAATATAAAGAGACACTCGGGAGACACCGTCGGGTTTCCCGTATTCTTCCTCTCCCCCCTCCCCCCTCATCTTGTTTTATTTTTACATCTTTATATTCGTTATGGACAATTAATATAACACCTTACGTGTATTTTTTTTTTTTTTTTTTTGAGGATATGATTGAATATTTTCTTTCTCTTTCTCGCGTTTAATCCTTCCTCCCATTCGCTCTCGCTCATAATTCTATGGTTAGCCGGATAATAGTTATATAACTGTAAACGCAGTCCCGCGCTCTTTTCCGCGGATGTGCAGAGTGCAAACCAGCTAATCGTTAAATATTTGCTGAGCCGTATTGCAACGCAGTTCCCGCCGCGCTATCTCGTATTGCGACTCTTACACACACGCTCATCCCGCCTCTTGCTTATCGGTCTGTTTGTGCACGCGTGACGAATGCTTGCGCAGCAGCAACGGCGGCATCGTCATCGCACGCTCAAGCACGACCATGGCCAACAGAATTTTCTCGAGGAATCCCTGACCACTCCGTACCCCCACCCTCCCTCTCGACGATATACGCGGCGGTACAGGTGCTTGAGAGAAAAATATATGTTGGAAATATATAGGACATTTTTTTTTAATAAGAAATAAAAAATTAAGTGAATAATATATGTAATTATGTTATTATTATAATGATTTACTCTCGAAGATTTTAATTATTATATATTTAAATAAAATATATGATAAGAAAATATATAGGAAACTTTTTAATGACAAATAAAAAATTAAGTGAATAACATGTGTAATTATGTTATTATTAGAATGATTTATTCTGAGATTCTAATTATTATATATTAAAAGATATATGAATTATTATACATATAATAAAAGATATATATGATTCGAAATTGGAATACTCGTTTTAATTCTGAAATAAAGATGGATCGTCGATATATCATTTTGTTGTATTTAGTAGAGCGATAATTCTAGAATATCATACTCTATTTTCGCGCAAAGAGATTTATGCGATATGTGAGTTGACAGCAACATCCGCTCCTCTAATGATGCAGATAATTTTATTAATTAGATGAGACAATTTATTGACTCCGATCCAATAATTCCAACGATATTTAGTTATCTCGTTTAGTTTCTCGTAAAAATTAATGTTTTATCTTTATTCTATGATATATGCATGGAGTATTCAGGTAAAAACATTCAATACTTTTGTAGGTATATACCTACGCATAATATATTGTTATTAATAGAAAATATACGGCACGATAGAAAAGCAGTTTACGCTTCGGTTTTTGAAAATCGACAAGTCGCCGGTTCACGGTTGGCCGCTTATCGTACAGGTGCCGATAAGCGGATAAAGGTCAGAGAGTAGAACGACGTGGACGATACCTCTCTCGCGATAGGAGAGTACACGCCGAGTTAAATATAAAAGCGCTGTGATACCGATTGTGCGTGAAATTGTTTAGACGCCGACGTGTGTACGCATCTCTCGTTATCCACGCCGTTTCTCTGTCGGCGTTGATAATTTTATTTAATGACCGAAGTGTCTGTGTGCAATGCACGGCTCAAAGTAATGCACGTAAATAGGAGAGAGACACGGTATTGTGTCGAATTATTATTAATAAATTTTTCCGTTAAAAAAAGAAATGACAGATATTTATAAAAACATGGCTATTATTTTTGATTCCGGTAACTTTTTCTTACAAATCGGATATTGAATTATATTTCTATAAATTATATATTACATTTTAATTATATTATATTCCAAATTATATTGAATTATATTTCTAAAAATTATATATTTTATTTTAATTATATTATATTCCAAATGATATTGAATTATATTTATAGAGATTTAAACGAGAATATTAGAGAGGGGCTCTCGATTTATGAAATGTCATGAGAGAACGAAACACACTTATCGCGCGACCTCTCAATACACGTTTCGTTGAAGAATACTAAGCGCACTCAACGCCTATGAATATTTACTGCCGGAAATCGCTCGGCAAACGCGACCTTCCCACTCTTCTCCTCTCGCAGGCAAATAATGGCGACTCCACGATAAGAACTGTAAAAATTGTGGCGTTTCCTGCGAAGCGCGCGATGCTCGCCGCGCCGTAAAAATCATTCCGGCGTATAATAAATTGCTTTCGCGATTCCCGGCGACATGGCGTAAGAAAGGTTCGCCGGGCGAGAGGGAAGGACTCGACAGGATGGGTCCGCTGGAAAATATCTCGGGGACTGTTTTTCGCGGCGCGCAGCTCCTCGCGGGCAACTCGTATATACGCTTATACTACTTTGCTCTCTCGGAGATGTTCCCATGAGAATATCAACCGCGTGGTCGTCATGGCTCATCCGCAACCGTGAGCACGTACTCGCCGGCCATACCGGCCAATTATCACACCGATGCGATGGCCGTTATAATCATCGGGAACATAACCGACGATTGTTGCAAAGCCCATTGGCTATTCAGTACGCCAACGATGACCGCGTTGACATGTCGAACAACCGTCACTCGTGGCCCGGCGAACTTTCGGGAATATTAAATTAATCGCTAGCATCGAAGAGCCTTCTCGGAAGGATTTTTACACGGGGAGAGAAGCGTAATAATCTTTCTGTAAAGATAGAGCTTTTTACAGAGCCGAATGTTACTAGGCGGAATTTTTTCAAGACACGTCATTGTTTGTTTTTTTTGTTACAGGACAGCGAACATCTAATCACGCTCGCGCACTTGTCAGACTATAACATCTACAGAATACCGAACGCCAAGCGAGTTTTCGGCGCACCCTTCGAGTGGGGCGTCTGCCTGAGGCCGAACAGCAACGCCGAGGCCGAGGACACGGAGGCTGGGGAGCCCGGGATCAAGGTCATTGCTTTCGAAAACGAAAAATCGCGCGCCTGCTGGCTCACAGCCATGAGACTCGCTAAGGTAAGCGACACGATTTCTCATTCTCGTCTCGTCTAATTGGCGTTTTTTACTCGATAATATAATGCAAATAATTCAGCGACTTGAGTGCATCGGATCTTGGGGTATTCGAATATTTAAATGTCACTTTGTTACATAAAACATTATTTTTAATATCGATTGAAATCAATCATTTCCTCATCGGCATATTTATGTGAACACCGTAAAAAAATTTCTAAAAATCCAGACACATTTTTTGTCTGAATTTTCAGATCCGAGTGTCTAACAATGAGAGAAATTTTAGACAATCTGTCTTAATCATCAGAGTCGTTTTTCTGAAATTTCAGAAGAGTGTATGAAAATTGAAGTGTGTTTGAAAATTCAGACAGCATTTTATCTGAAAATTCAGATAATATGTCTGCAAAAAAGCTGCAAATACTTTGTCTGAAGAGTTTCAGTTAGATTATTTTTTACATTGAAAGATCGAAAATTAAAGGTCAATAATAGTCGAGGGAATGATCAGTGAATGACCATCATACATATATACACAGCTTTAATTAATAATTGTTTTAATTTAAAAGCGGAAAGCATGCACAAGCTAATATTAATTGGAGAAATGAGTATTTAAATTCGCGGCGAGGATAATCGTGCTTTTACAATATCGCCTCCCAACCGATTCTGCGTTCTATCTGCAACTCGACTCTTCCACCACTGGATGATGTGATCATCCCTCTGCGAGACGAGCCGTGGGTATTATTAGCTCCGCGATGGAGAGCCAGGTATAATGAGCCTTATTTTCTTTCCCCTTCCCTCCTCCTCTTTCTCCTCCGACTCGAATGTCGAAACTTCTTCGTGAAGCTCAAAGAAGTTGCGTGACTCGCGCGTCGTTCGTGTTTGACGGAGAAAGAGACAGAGAGAGAGAGAGAGAGAAAGAGAGAGAGAAAGGGTGAGAAAAAGAGGGAAGAAACACTTCACTCCGTCGACGTGCGTATATACTATCACACAGGCACACAGGCACGTTTCGCGTGGTGAAATTTTTTTTCTCGGTCTTTTTTTAGAGTAGCCCGCGGCGAGGATAATCGTGCTTTTACAATATCGCCTCCCAGCCGATTCTGCGTTCTATCTGCAACTCGACTCTTCCACCACTGGATGATGTGATCATCCCTCTGCGAGACGAGCCGTGGGTATTATTAGCTCCGCGATGGAGAGCCAGGTATAATGAGCCTTATTTTCTTTCCCCTTCCCTCCTCCTCTTTCTCCTCCGACTCGAATGTCGAAACTTCTTCGTGAAGCTCAAAGAAGTTGCGTGACTCGCGCGTCGTCGTGTTTGACGGAGAAAGAGACAGAGAGAGAGAGAGAGAGAGAGAGAGAGAGAGAAAGGGTGAGAAAAAGAGGGAAGAAACACTTCACTCCGTCGACGTGCGTATATACTATATACGTGCCACACAGGCACGTTTCGCGTGGTGAAATTTTTTTTCTCGGTCTTTTTTTAGAGTAGCCATGCCACTGACACCGTACACTTTTCTTTCTTCATCTTTTTCTTCTTTTTTTTCTATTTTTTTTTTTTACGAGGATCGAGCTCGTGAGACACCGGGGCTCTCGTTTCCCATCGTCGTCGATAATATCGGTTTATTCTCGAGAGCAGACAGCCTTTGTCTTCTCTCTTTCTCTCTTCTTCTCTATTCTCATCTCTTTCAGTCGAGCCAAGTGCTCGCCGATGGAAGAGAGTGACTCGTGGTTAGTAACGGTTTTCGCTGGCAACGCGTGATCGGGAGTTTCGTTGATGAGAGAGAGAAAGAAAGAGAGAGACTCCAGACTACGGCTGCCTATTCTACATTACGTTACTCTTTAGAGACCTATTCTTCCTCGAGTTCAAGTGCCTGCTTAGACCGTCTCTCAAATCCGGCTGATCCCCAGGAAGTGCGATGGCATCATCATCGCTCTACCGTTCATTAAGAATAAAAAGAGTAACATATCCTCCGGCAATCATATGAGTAACTTATAAATGATATTCATTTAGAGGAAGGGATAGAATTTTAATGATGATTTATCTATATTTATATTTATTCATATTGCGAATTTAGTTTTTAAACTTAATTTCTTTTAACACATACAAGCTCAATAATTTTATTAGATTTACACAAACGCTATCTTCCTGACAAGGGTTTCTTTCATCATCATTATAACTTGCTTCCATTCCGAGTAACACTTGTCAGGTCGGGATAGCAATCTAATCTGCCGCGGGATGTAATTTGGGGACCCCTTGCACCGGAGGATCGTAAGCTGGTCTCCCTTGATGCATCCTCGAGGGTCTCCCGAGCTATGCGTCTGTACTACCGTAGCCGCTGGCGGGCAGGCAGACACTTGCCTAGTGTTTATCGGCCTCGTTGGCCATCCATGCCTGTCTGCATCTCCTGCTCGACCTATCCCGCTCCGGATTTACTATGCGCTCTTTCTCTTCTCCCTTTTATCCGAAGGGAGAAGGACGAGACGACGACCGTCTTGGTCGGCGCTCTAGGTAGTACTTACGCGTGTCTCAGCGCGAGGCCTTTGTAACTCTTTCATCCGAGAAAAAGCTAGGAGTGTGATGAGATGCGGCGAACGAGAAACGTTGTAGAAGACGGAAAGGGAGAAAGGAAAAGAGGGAGAGAGAGTGAGCAAATGAACGGGTGTATAGGCCCTCGGAGAGAGACCTGCAGGACTCGCTTTGATCGAGAAGACATTGACACTCCTGACAATCCCCTTTGTACTCTCTTTGTTTCTCCACTGTCGTCCATTTTTCCCCCTTTGTCCCTTTTCCTTCGTCGCGTTTCAATCTTCCCGGACTTCGATTCGCCTCACTGAAAATCTATGAGTAGTATAGCGTGCGTAAAGAGTCGTCTTTGTTGATTCAAGGATCGGAATCCTGGACAGAAGATGGTACGACAGCTTTTTCAATATACATATTTTATATGAAAAATATTAATACAGCTTACATATTATCTGTAATCAATTTTGTCATCAGTTTTGAGAAAATATCAAAGTAAAAACGAAGATTAATATTAAAGTAATAATTGTTTGATTAATTCAGGATCAGATGTCTCGCGAGACGAAGATATCATGATCGCGAAGGTACTACTGTTCGTTGCTGGATATTAATAAAATATTGTCATTTGACATTATGACTCTAGCTTTTCGTCCGCCATGCATGAAACGATAATGGTAATGAGAAAGTGAGCAGATCGCGAAGCGATAAGGGCTGTAGATAAAGTTAAGCCGTAAATATCGGGTCGCTTTCTACCCGATTGTAACTCTATATCCTTCTGGAGAGTTTCTTGCTATAAAAAGAAATAGCCATCCGAGAATTATAATTATCACACACACACACACACATACATATACACACGAGAAAGAATAGATTGTACTAACTTGCATTGTCATTCAATTATAAGGGAGACGTGTCAACTTTTTAGGTGTAATCGTTTTTGGCTTCCCACGTCAGGGAGATGTAATCTTACGCGATATCGAAGGGGTTCGACGCGGCATTATCCTTCGTTTACTTAGAGACTTAGCGTACCTCGTTATCGTTCTTCGTTTCCCTATCGGTGATTAGTGTTAGCATACACTCGCGCCTTACCACTTTCCACGTTGGCGGGTTTCCCCAACGTCTACGTTTGCGAATAATTGAATTATGTAATTATCTCTCGAAATGCACGCTCTCCGCCGGCTCCAGGGCCATCTTCAATTAGTCGTCCTTCATCTTTGCGCAAACGACGAATTTCGACTTTGTTTAATCTATCTTACTTCTCGCGCGAAGAGGGGCGAAAAGTTCGTGACAAAACTGACAGCGAACAAATATATTATGTACGAACAGTGACACGAGAGAGAAATAATGAGTATTAATTTAAAATAATTTTATAGAATAATTTTTGTCTTGTATTAAAATTTTTTAAAAATTATGTTATATTATTATTGAGACAAAATTATTAAGGGAACGCAAAATAATTGAAAATTTGAAAAATCTGTATTATATAAACGCAATAAAACGCGGATACCTCGAACCTTTCGAAACGGCGATCTATTTTTGCTGTTGCCAGGCGAGCCTTCGGCGATTGCAAAGCTCACCGGCATAATTTTCGTACCGCGATGCAAGCTACATAGCCCGCATTGGTATATTAGCAATCCGTGTATATATGTATGGGCGCACGTCACGGGTGAGACTTGCGTGTACGTGCGCGGATGCGTGCGTATGCGTGAGCAGTCATTCGAGCGTAGATGCGCCCGGCTGTCTTGTGGGTCGATACGATGGCTATACCACTGCTGCTGGGTCCATGGTTATGCACACGTTCACGTGACACCGTCTGCTCCTCTCATCTTGTCTCCTCTCGTCTCGTCCCTCACATTCACATCTTCTTCAACGTGCGTGAATCACAATCTGCACGAATACCGTCAAAGTACATGTTAGCTTCCAACTTTTCAAAAATGCCTTTCTCTGGTAAAACAAATCTAGAAGTCTGAGTACATTTCTCTCTTTTATTTAAAAGAAAAATTTCATTGGCTGATACTTTTTTGATATTAAGTATTTTAATAAATCTTTCTCTCTCTCTCTCTCTCTTTCTCTCAAGTTAGGACTAGATAAATAGTTTGCTTGGAACTAATAAGGAATAAGATTTTATAATTTTTTCCGTATTTTTTGTGTTATAATTATTTTTGTTATATAAAGGCTGTTTTTTATGTTTTGTTAAATTTAAGATAAATAGAAATTTAAGATAAATATGAAATTTATATGAATCCTGAATAAACAAGGAAGTAAAGTTAGCTTGTATAAGACAGCTTTGCTGCAAATGATTATACCTTGAGCTGTCGCGATATCAAGAGCTCGCACGGATTATCTTTGATTCAACTGAAGGAAACTTCATCGCTATTCCCCAAGTATAGATACTTCCCGATTAAAAAAAAAATTGTTCCTATCGATTGAATATTTTTTCCGCACTCGTAAGCCACCTGTGAAAAATGGGATTACAGTTCACTCGAGTTGAAAATTGAATATCTAATTTCGTTGCCAAAAAGATATGAAGCATCAAAACGCGTATATGTATATAATCATCGATATTATTATTCCTATTTCAATATTTTTCATGTGTTACGCGCGTTTATAAAATGTGTGTGTGAGTAATGAAAATAAATATAATTTCGTGATATATAAAAAAAATTGTGGCCTCGCAATAACGTTTAGTTTATCTAGGCAAATGCGATACCTAGGCAAGACGATGTATCGATCGGAGGTCAGCCTCGTACAGCTGGGCGACACGCGCGAGTTGACAGACCGGCCGGCCGGCCGGTATTACGACGACAAAGTAACGCGTGTAGAATTATGCAAATCGCGAATGCAGTTTATCTTTTTTTTTTCTTTCCGTCGTTGGCTTTATCGGCCTCGAATGTTCCGCGATGCGCCCGAAGCGTAGAATCAGTTATATGCGCGTGTGTGCATTCGTTCGTCGCGTGCATCTCATCAATTGTAGTACTAGCGCGTTGTTTTAACGGTGTCCGCTCTGCTTTGTATTGTTCCAGTACGGCAAACAGCTCCGAGAGAATTACCGAGCCTTCAAGAACAAGCAGTGCGAGCAGAACGGCAGCGGCAGCCCCAAAGAACAGTACAGCAGCTATAATGTGTCCAACGTAAGTGCTATATGCATGATTTCAAGCGCTGAGATATATAAAAGATCTAAGCCATAAAGGAGAATTTTGGATAAGAACGCGAAACGAGAATTGGAAAAGTTATGAATAATTTATTCATTCAAATTTTTTTATGAATACGGCTTAAATCTTTGTACCGTTCCTAGCGCTTTAATTAAATAAATTAAATCTTAGTAAAGGATTTCAACACCGATTACGCAAATTTGGCGTAAAAATAGCTAACTAAATTTGAAAAAAAAAAAAAAAAAGAACGGAACGCATATAACTCGTTACGACGTAAGTGTATAAGTAAAATAACAAGACAGTTGTCTCTCTCGTGGCGAGAATTATTTCTACGACGCTCGCGATGTATTTTCGATGGGCCAATCTCTGTAGCCTAGGATATGCTCGAGAGGTAAATTTCGCTTTAGACGTGGTAAATGGAATGGAAGAGGCGATTACGTTGAAATTACCTCGAGTGACATTAATTTGCCGGGTCACGCCACGTTCGATCATTGCCTTCAGTCATCCCTTTTCCTGCACGAGCCGTCGTCTCTCGTTGAACTTTCATAGCGTCTACGGGATCTTGATTAACTCGTGCAATCCCGAGCTTTTCAATGCCCTTTTTTTTCGATTAACACCTTCTTGCCTTTCTTTACCTTTTCTCTTATTCGATTCTTAATTGTTTTCTTTATTACATTAGTACATTCTTTATATTATCTATTAATCGTATATATATAAATTTTTGCTTATGTATATATTTAATTATATTGTAATTATATATGTATATATAATTCTTTATCGAAATTATTCCCTTTTACAAGCGAAATAAATAGATTTGTTTATTAATTTATATTAATATACCAGTAAATAACGCTCGCAGGCAAACTGTATTATTGTTCTCGACGGTCACGCGCGTTTATCGATTCTCTAATTGATGTACTGAAATATAAGGAAATTCAATGCTAATAAATGAACGAACGGTAATACGAAAACACTGGCCCGACGTATAACGATGCGGCGCGCTGGATGACGATGCTGTTAGCGGCTAAATACAATAATTATAGCAAATAGCTTGTTAGCTATTGATCTTTAATGCGAAATTCCACGCGAAATATGCGGGAATTGCCGAGCCACTCCCTCGGTCGAGATTCTATTCGCTTGTGTGCGTTCGTTATTTCGAGTGCACAGATGCATAGTTCTCTCTTGCTAGCTCTCTCACACGTCCTATTTATACAATGGTTAAACTATGGCAACGCAAATTACACTGTCGGATATCATATATCGTCGCTTTTATCGCGGCCGCGATAATATGTATAAATTCGCCGATCCATAATCGATCCTCTCAGAATCAAGCGATTGCTTGTTAAAGAGGAAAAAGAAAGGACGATAGCAAGTTAATTTTTTACGAAGGATTTTCAACTAGTTGAGCAGTCAGTTATTTTATTTTGTTTCATTTGTTAGCCAGTGTATATAATTAAGTTAATATGTATATAAAATTTGATATGTAAGAAATAATTATTAAAAATTCGAGGAAGCAGAAACGAAATAAAAACTTTAATAGAATTTAATAATTGAATTTATATTTAGCGTAGCTGTTGTGAATTAAGATGATTTTGGTGAAGGATTTTCAGACACATGACTGTCATTATATAAAATTTGTGAGACAGCTTAAACAATCAAATTTAAACAAATAAATAATACCGACGTTTCGCGTGTCTGTTAAAATTATCATGGCTATTAACGAAACGTAATATACCGATAATAATGAAACAAATATGAGACAATTAAAATATAAAAAAGAAAGACTTTATGGGATGGGAAGATTTCTCTTTATAATTGCTTTTATGAATAATTTTTATGTATCTCTCTTGTTCGACGAAAATTAATAACTCCGCATCCATTATCGGATACATTATCGTCAATTATCGAATATCTGTTATTTACGATACATTTTGATATGACAAATAAATATCTTAAACAAGTAGATACTTCATACGGGAAATAATCGCTAATGGGGAAATCGACGCGCACACATCTCGTCGAACGAAATTAAAAGTGAAAGATGTTAAAGTAACACTGACATATATATCTTACTCACGATCCGGAAAGCAAATTTTCTCGGGAAAGTACCGTCATAACTTACGCAAAGAATGCCAAGAAGGATCCATCCCCATCGAATCGCACTGACCTCATTGTCGTGCCATCCCCGACCTCGTCGAGATATAGACCTCTCTCTCCCTCTCTCTTTCTCTCTCCCTTCACGATATTCTTCGCGTCCTCCTACGCGCTAAGATGTCGGCGCGTCTCGCCCGGTAGGAAATTTCATCCTCGTATCGCACAGCTGATTCCAAGGTTGTGCCAGCCAGCCAGAGGGACGACAACCCCTCGTCGCCCCCCCCCCGTTTACCCTTCCATCGACTGACTTATTTCCTCCTCTATCTCTTTTTTTTTTCTCGTCGTCGGAGAGAGATGAAGATATAGCTTGTTCTCATTATAATTTCCGTAGCCGGCGTTCTCGGGAAAATATAATATTTTTCAAAGCGTTACCGCCTTATCGTAAAACCGCGAGAATTGCATCATCCAGAATTGCATGAATAATGAAAGTAATTGGAGATAAACTCTGCCAATCATTAAAATATGCTTTTTTTTTTAGACTCTACGAAATATGCAAAGAAAAGAATGTAATATATTAATTTAAATGTTATATTAAAGGCGAAATTGTGAAATTTTCCGTAAATGAAATTTTAAAGAGAAAGTTTTGAAAAGTTGCAATTCTGCAGTGTGTTTAATGCGTGCCACTACATATTTATCTTTTACATTTTCATTTTTCTTAATAAACTGAGATACAGACTGTTTTTGAGTTACATAAGACGCTTACGAAATTTTGTATGGATATTGATAATTTCTTATAGATAGATCTTTTTTCTTGCCTTTACACACAATCTTGGCAACTTATGAGAGTATTTTTATCTTGTAATAATTGTACAACATAATTTTTGTCCATATTTCTCTTTTTTTTTTTTTTTTTTTTTTTTTTTTTTTTTTTGTAGAACGCGTTACAGTTATAATAATAAAATATCCATACTTCCATAAGGAAGGAAATATCGATTAAACGAAGCGGGTGTGAAACATATATTGTCGAGCAGTTTCGAAGAACTGGTTTTGAAGTAGCGATCTTAACAAGCTTCCGGCAATAAATTACAGTTTGCCAGTTATGAATTATCTACTCGAAGTAGCACGGAGGATGACAATTAAAACCTAGTATGGAAAATAACCGGTATTACGCGCTTAATGCGCGAAAGTGCAAGGAAAAAGATAATTGGTTTACAAAATAAACATAATTGATAGGGGCGGTCTGACATGCTTTAACGACAGTCTCGAGTAATAACAGGAAATTACAGTGTTTATAGGGATACTCAGATAATCATAAATCGCGAGAAGAAAAACTGATTCTTTTACTAGTAAGCTTTCAGATATTAAATAATTTAACGATAATCGAGAATCTTTCTATAACTGTATGGCTCCGATATTTCGATGGAGATACTGAAAATAGGAAGTGAAATTTGAGGAAAGATCTAAAAATAATCATCGCAGGAAAAATAGACGATGAGGAGAAGAAGAGTGCACGTGGTGAGAAGCGAAGATGAAACTTCGAACGATCTTCTTCGAAGTCTCGTCCATTGTACATTCTCGCGATGGGGTAACTTCTCTCGCGAAGAGAGTGCGAACGTGGCTTGCACTTCGTTTCGATTGAAAGCTTCGATCATGGATATCGTTCGTTCGTGTCCCGCTTTTATCTCTATTCGAAGGGAAACAAAAGTGCACCTCTCGCATCGTGCGTGTGTGTGTGTGTGTGTGTCGAACCGACAGAGCAAACTTCGTATTTTCCGTCTTCCGCACTGTTTCTATTTTTCACGTTGCACGTAATTGCACATTTAAATGGATAGATTGAAACTCGGGAATAAAGTTTCGTGCCAATGTAGCTTCGCGCGCGGATTCAATCTCCTGAATTTGAAAAGATCTACTGGTGGAAGATAAAATAGAAAAATATCTTAAACATTTTATATTTCAATTTGTTATATTAATTTTAACATTTGCGGATATAAATCGATGCGTTAAATCAATTTCTCGATAAGATTTTCTTTCAAAAGCGCATTTGCATAATTAAAATGAACAATACACATTATTTTTGGTTTGTAAAATTTTTGTTGTAAATTTCGATTTTGGAATTACGTCCATTTATATATACTTTGATTTTAGAATTACGACCGATTTATATACAGGGTGAGTCGCTAGAAATTGCCTTCTAAAATATCTTCATAAATATTGATTTTATACAAAAACGTTTCAGACAAAAATTAAATAATTTTTAAAAGGCTACATTTTAGTCATCTTAATTTTTTTTTTTTGATGGAGGCGTCAAAAAGTTTTAAAAATTATGAAAATTATATTTATGAAGATATCTTAAAAAGCAGTTTTTAGTGACTCATCCTGTGTATATTTTGATTTTGGAATTACGTCGTTGGAATTACGTCGTTCGTATCAATTCCAAAATCAAAGTATATATAAATATAAATATCGATTATTTAGTGTAATGGACCAATCTATTCGCCATCATTATGTCATCTCGTCCAGCCGACTACTTAACGAGTGTCCACGGCGTTTAACAGATCGTTCGCGGTTGACGTGAAAGCGTAGTCGCGCTCCGCTTTTAGTCAGACATTATATTTCCCTTAATGGCGCGAGACAGCCGGCTTGGATACCGGAAATGTTGGGAGTATCCAACAACGACGTTCTTTTCCGTTTTTCCACTTCGGCAAGGCTCCGGCATTGTTACTCGGCCCCGTCGATCCCCTCGCCGTTCATTTAAATTCAAGTGGGTTTTACCTTCTTGGAATTTCAATGCGAGCGTTAATTATTAGGTTTTAATGCGGGAATTCAACAAATTGTAGCAAATAAGGCTTCCCTCTCGAAGCTATCGTTGATTGTTAAAGTCGTCG